TCCCCCCCCCCAACCACCTCTGTGAAGAAACGTAACAAAATACTACGGGGCCGGGGCCTGGCTTACAAAAGGCACGCTAACCTACCTAGAAATAGGGTGGAAGATCAAGATCTGCCCCTGCCATCACACCACCATCGTACCATACCACATCATTACGTAGAGCCGGAGGTTTGACAAAGAGCGCCCGCGGGGGAATCCGACGTTTTGAAAAAGTTTTACGACGTACCGTATGATTTTGATCTCGAAGCTGAGAATCCACCTATCTTGATAGTTAAAGATCAATGTCCACTCTTACATCCATGAGGATCAAATATTTCAGGTGTAAGCATAATCACATAGTTGAAGCCCAGCATTAAACTTTCAATCGACCTTTAATTGCAAAAGGTGATGATAACAATTTTATATGTACCATATCCAACAATATGTTTATAAATACAGTACAATACTTTTTGCCTTTGGTTACATTTTGCATGTATGTCTATACCTGAATAAACAAATATAATTAATTAGAAAGTACCTTTATGACGACATGTGAGGTGTCGTAATAAATACAAGACGCAACACGACAGTATGAAGACAGTTTGTTACGTGAAAAGGTTTATAAGCTGATTGTGTAATCGATCGTGACAAGCTAGTTTATGAGTTCTTCATCTGATTAGAATATTTTTTTCCCGTCCATCTTCCATTTATTATGTCGTCAAGCGTGTATTCATGTATTTTAAGGTGTTTCCAGAACTTCCTCGAATATTCAATTCAAAACGCAGAGCTTTATCCTATTTTCAAAAAATATTAAACGAAGTAAAATCACACGCCGGATTGATCATAGGCCCATAGTATTCACATTATGACCAACTGAGACACCAAGAGTACCAGCCGACTATCTCCCGAAGAAGACCCAAACCCAACATTGAGAAGAAGCGCCTACCGTAAAACCTCGAAAGCAAATTTAAAATAAAACGTAGGCCTACAAATACAATAACACACATGCTATCTGTAGTGATAAAAGCCACAATTATAATTAATATTATGAATATCAACTAAAACATAAGAAAAAAAGAGTTTTCGTTTGCATTTACTGTAATATTAAATAGGTCTAGTAAAATATGCTATACACAAAGTAAAAACCATGTTGCAGTTCAAATCTTTACCATTGGAAGGATTCTAAGTATTTTATTGACCCTAGGCCGTTATTAATCAATGTATTTCTACATGAATACAAAGTGGCTTATCTACACGACCTGACTGGCTGTAATATCGGACACGTGTGATGAATGCGTTGAAATGTATGCGGTTAAGACAATTTGTAAACCACACGTCACACGTTGTGTATTTTTCGGAGTGTTTACAGATATTGCGTACAAATGACAAATTACGTAGAATCAGAGAATGCAATTGATTTTTAAGTAGTGACGTTATTATAGCTTTGCTAAATCATAAAGCAAGTCTACACGTGTACGTAAGACTCACGGTGAGCGTATGCTGCTATGAGTTTCACACAGGGTATTTGAAAACACAATTATTTGCCATCAGAAGTCTGCAGACATAGAACGCTTTCTCTGGACAAAATCTCGACCCAAATCGTATGCAAATAGACGAGCGAGGAAATGTTTAAATACAGTATTCATCTTCTAAAAACCAAAACAACAGAAAGATGTCTTGGATGCAAAATATTGTTACATAACTATTTAAATGCAAATAATCAACATATGCTAATTATAGGTCTTATGACGCAAATACCGTCTAATTAAAGAATCTTCGATGTTTCATGAGTGTGCAAGTGATTAAATTTTTCTGAATCAGCCTATTTCAAATTTTAATGGCATCTTATTTCCCGTTACCCTGTTAAATATCTATAAGAAGCTTGCTGGTAGGTCATTATGATCTCAATTATATTTATCTTTGCTATTTTCAGTTAAATTTACATTACGTTTTTAAAGACCACAGATGGCTAAAATTTTCGTCTGAGTACCATGGTGTTCCTTTAATTCGACCATTTAGACCCACCCTTGTCTGGTCTTGAATGTAATGCAGTAAAAAAAAATACATAGGCCTAAGTGCGTTGAAACCATAATGGCCAATCAGCTGCTCTTTCATATTGAACATCAGAGGTGGCAGGAAATCAAATGCCAGCAACAATGGAAATATTAATATAAAATACTCTGCTATTAGGATCGCTAGTAACTCGCACGTACTGGAAACGCTACAGTTGTGTGTCATTGACCAAAGTTTTGACATGGGTTGTCTGAAAGCTCTGGTTACAGCACACTAGGCCTATGATTATTCACGTTTTCAGTATTTTTAGCTTTCGCTTTCAATTTTGAGATTATCTCTCCTGACATGAGTCCAGCATCGTCCTACAATACAACATTGTTGTCTGTATTTTATATATTGCTATATTATAGACATTTTTATTTCTTTCTTCCTATTTCTATTGCTATATTATTATACACATTTTTATTTCTTTCTTTTAGCCTGGCAGGGCCGTATCCAGGATTGCTATGGGAGCGCTTGGGTGCATCCAATGGGGTATGGGGGCTGCTTCATGCTTAGAGCCGATTTGATCGCAGTTTAGTATTGTAGGGCTTTATTGGGGTTACATAGATAGCTGGTTAAAATGTAGGGGCCTAAATACTTAAGATCCCTTTTTAAGATAAAAAAAAATAACAGATTTTATCGTGGCCCTGGATACGGGGCCTGCCTGAGTTAACCAATTCAGATAAAAAAAAAAACCAAAAAACTGTTATTATAAACCAACAAGTGTAAAAAGTATAGAAAAATAAGCTTATACAATGTATATACATTTACACTATTATATCGTATACAATAGTCTATATACCTATAACATATAGGCTACATATAACTTTTAAATTGGCTTTATACATACATATCATACGGATCAAGTAGACATGTACCGGTAACGATTTTAGGAAGTCCTTAATATGAAACTTTTTGCTTTAAGTTGTATTATGTAATCACAGATTTGAACAGTTTTTAGTACAATTATATTATTCCCAATTTATCTCAATTAAGATTAATTGGCAATGCCATTCTTTCGCGTTGGAGGATGACTGACAGCATGCATCACACAAGCCTACAGAATTAATTAAAATTCAAAATTAAACAAATTGAAATAAAAATATGAAAACAAGAATATTACACGAAGGCCTATGACGAGATAAAACAATGTTCGACCTTTGAAAGGCTGATAATTTGAGCAACAGTACTGTCTTTACTGATATTCTGTAAACTGCTCGTATAAATCTAGTAAACGTTGAAAGAGAGAATTCACCTTGCGAAGCTATCCAGGGTCGTTTCATTGCGATTTGCGTCATACTACCCGCTGTTGCCCTGACAACAAATTTGTCACGCCAAGTAGATACCGCCCCTTAGCAAAGTGCTACGGTATGACGTCATTGCTTGACGTGCTCTGTCAGGATTTCTTCAAAATAACATGGCTTGGTCCGGTGAAGTCAGATAGGGTAGGGAAAAAGAGGTTGTCTTGACTTCGAGTCCAGATTCCATCACTGCGGGTTTTTTAATCCTCAAATCATGTTCGCTTTTATTTCGCTGAAGCCGAAGAAGAATGAAAACGGAGGCCACAACGAGGACTAGTGTTGCGAATTTGCCAGAAATTCGCCTTATGTGCCGACTTTCAAGGTACGGACTGAGATCCTGTTTATTCAGTGTGTGGTGAGTCGTCGGTCTAAACATGGATAGTAGTAGTGGGGTGTTGTAAAGGCCTCCTTTTAGGCCTATTTCAGTAACTGACGTTTGTGAAGATAGCAGCCCTAGAAAATGGTCGTAATGGCATGCCCCTCTGAGCCTACGAAGCCATCACATCGGCGATCACAGGCGAGAGTTGGTTTCTATGATATTGACAAAACTCTTGGGAAAGGAAATTTTGCAGTAGTGAAACTCGCCAGACATCGGATTACAAAATCACAGGTGAGATTTTTCAGTCTTAAGTTAGGCCTACACAACTTTTCTTTTGAATATAGTAAATGAACTCAAGTGCGGTATTTGTTATATTATTATTATTATTATTATTATTATTATTATTATTATTATTATTATTATTATTATTATTTCACGAATAACTTAATGCATTTTTTAAAATTCACAACTTGTGTATGGAATCATTTAAAAAATAATTAATATATTGATAATAGAATGAATTATTGTGAGACATAAATAATCAAACATACCAACACAGAGAACAATTCATAATCCATAAATGTAGCAGAAATCAAGTAAAGAAGGGCAAGTATAAAAGGATAGCACTACTGATTGTACCAAATCAGGGAAAGTATCCGTGGACTGCATGAAATAATGGGATACTAATTACTACAACCAACTAACTAGTCCAGGGGGTAACATACTGCATCAATATGAAATAATGGAACACAAAAATTACTATGGGAAAATAATTTGACATGTTTTGGAAGGAAGGAGAAATTAAATTAAGAAAGATGTACAACTGCAGGCCCGTAGCCAAGTTCTTCCAAGGGGAGGTTTTCTGGGCGTAAGGTCCACAGTTGAAGCCCCGGTGGGGTCTGCAAAACCCCCAAAGCAAGAGGATTTTTGTGCTTTATGAGTCTAAATAATGCTATATAAGCAGATATGTTTGAATATCTGTGTCTGGGTGGGTCTGCAGTGCATTAGTTGGGTTGGTAAATTTAAAGAAGGGGTTTCGCCAGAAAAGAGGGGGGAGGGGGGTGCTAGAAACGGGGGTTCTCCCGAACCATAAAAACCCCCCAGGATACAGGCCTGAACTAACAAATAAATTGGTTTTAAGATTAAATTAAAGAAAGATGTATTCGGACAAATAAATTGTCAAGGATAAAAGTGGTAAACTATAGAGGCAAATACTGAGGCTCTCAACTCAAACATTTAGCATTTTAGCACTTTAGAGTCTAAAAGAGTAAATTGACCAAAATATTGACATACATTTAAGATAACCAATAATAGTTGTAAAGTTGACAGGGTTAAGTGGAGATGATATGATATTTTAGCATTGTGTAAGAGAGATAAAAAAAGGTTAACACTCAAGCAAACTGATTAGTCATTGAGCTAAATGAATCCTACTATAGTTGGTACATTCAGAACCAAGAAGCAGGTTGGCAAATCTAGCATCCTTGTCAGTGATTCTATCATGAGCCCACTTAAGATATTTATAGATAAAAATTTAGATCAAATTCAAGGGGCTTGTCTGATTGAACTGAAGCGACACATCTTTATATATACACGGATTAATATATGTACTGTTGTTTTGCTCTTCCATTATTTTTTTTTTTATTGTAAAAAATTATAATGCACCTAATAGAAGAGGCCTGAACCCAACTTTTAAGGATAAATGGATTAGCGAGTAGGGTCCCACAAATTT